GACTTTTAAAGGGCTACATTGCACAACACTGAACTGTATCAGACAATGCCTTGCCCAAATTGAATCTGTTGACCTACTAAAGTTGCTTAGGAAGAGCCTGCTAAGATAAGGTGACCAGATGTCCCAATTTTCGCGGGACAATCACACTTGTGCACAATTTGCCCCGTGTCCCGGGGCGTTCTTAAAAAGTCCCGATTTTTGTGACCAGACCCGGAAGTAAGCCTGCCCCGCCCCCAGCCCTGTATACCCATCCCGGCCGGACAGTATTTTGTCCCTTCTATCTCCCCGTTGCTCAGAAAAGCAACTCCGGAAAGGTCCTTTGGTGCCTGCTAGCAAAGGACCTTCCCAGAGTTGCTTTTCTGAGCAACGGGGAGATAGAAGGGACAAAATACCGGCCGGCTGGGATGGGTATACAGGGCTGGGGGCGGGGCAGGCTTACTTCCGGGTCTGGTCACAAAAATCGGGACTTTTTAAGAACGCCCCGGGACACGGGGCAAATTGTGCAAAAGTGTGATTGTCCCGCGAAAATTGGGACATCTGGTCACCTTATCTTAGCAGGCTCTTCCTAAGCAACTTTAGTAGGTCAACAGATTCAATTTGGGCAAGGCATTGTCTGATACAGTTCAGTGTTGTGCAATGTAGCCCTTTAAAAGTAATCACCAACACTCTTGACTTTGGTCCTATGTGGATCAGTTCGTGACTGGGGCATGAATGATTGTAAACCTGCTAGAAATCAGCAGGCTACTTCTATGACAACATATTTTAAGCATAATTGTGGCACTAATAAGAAACATGCACTCAATTTAATAATAGTTGGAACACAATTGCAAATATTGTACATTCAAAATAATTACTATATAGGGGAATCTTCTAAAGCAGCCGCTCCTTTTGAGACAGACAGACAGGCAGGCAGACAGACAGACATTTTATATTTTGCATAAACAGTCAGGGGTCATACCTTACTAGTACATTTACCATACTTATTTTTAAATCCTAGAAAAATATCAAAAATTTTGAAATTATTTTTTAAAAATATAATAAAATCCTCACCCAAGGCCTTCCTACATTTTAACTTCTTTCTATCCCTCACTGTCCTGTTCTGCTTTTCTCACCAACATGAAGTCCCAGAGATGATCCAGTGTTACTGTTGGCAGGTTCCAGTTGTGATAGGTTGTTTTCTGATTTACTATACAGCAAGTTAACTAAACCATAACTCAAATTAAACCTTTACTGTTGTAATGTGTTGTAGCAAGTGATGAACTAGGATGATTTAGTTATCAGATTTGCATACTGTTTAAGTAAACGAAGAACACTCAATTCCAAAATTGTTTTACATTTAAATCAATTCACCTTGATTCTAATATCACCTTTCTCTATACCATCTCCTTCCCATTGTTAGGTTCCTCCAAATATATATTATATGGATTAAACAAGAAGTCACTGTTTCTGCCAAAATAATATTCACATAATGTTATTTGGAATGAATCGTCTAAAAAGAAAACTATACAAAAAACAGTTGAACTGATAAAAGCTAACCTACCTTGAAACAACCAGAGGCAGAATCAACATTTTCAACATTCTCATCAATAATTCTCCAGGAAATTGAAAATAACTAATTTCCTAAGGAAATAAGGAAATGGATGAATTGATTTTTTTAAAAGAAAGCATTTATCTCAAAATAGTGTTAAGATGCTTTGATATCTACATTATTATTTTCTTCTTCATTACAACAGCATAAGAAACAACAGATGGAACATTGAGAAAATGTGCATATAATTGAGGTTATGAATAATTGGCCTGCTTTGAAATGGTGATTTTAATACTTCTTGGATTCTCAGATGAATGACATATTTAATATAAAAATGATGAATCTAGAAAGAATTTAGTTTAGCTATTGTTGTGGAGGGGAGTACTAAATCCACTGACCACCAGACTTATCTTTGTTTATTTCAGTTAAAACAAACTAAAGCAACATAATTCATGAGGGGACATCAGAAACTTGAAGTACTCATAGTCTGCTTATCAAAAACTCATCAGGGATGAATGAAACAGGTGTGAAGTTCATAGTTTGGATGATATAGAAGAGTCTCTCTTATGCTCCTAGTTTTTCTTGATGGTGAGACATGCCTCAGAAGTTGGTGAAGAACATAAATTATGAATACATTCATAAGAGAAGCCATGCTCATTCAGATATCTTCACCATGGACCTTTTAAGGTTTTCTAGGTCAAAAGCTACAATATTCAAGAAACCTCATTTTATGCCTAGCTTTTCCTAGTGTTAACTTCCCAAGTTATCTTTCCATTTCACATATCAGCTTGAATGGAACTAGATCAGAACTATATCATCTAAATAGATGGCAAACCAGAAGACACTCTATGCTGTCATATTGCCTGCTTTCCTGATGTGTACTTATAGATTTTGCCATGCTAAACAATTCCTTTACAAAGTGAATGGATCCATGATGGATAATTGTGACTCTATTTTACTCACAATAGGAGAGACAAATTCCTATTTCTCATATTCAGCCAACATCTTTGGGGCAAACATTGTACAACTTTTCGTCTTTGATGTTTTAAAAACAGAAAATTCCTCTTATTTCTAAAAATGGGTAATAAACCATTTCTACCTAGCTGACCCAGCATGAAGTGTAAACTATTAAAATTGGTAAGGTGGGAGGAAGCACAAACGGATGAATCCCTCAGGTTGTTCTAAAGCATACTTTCTAAAATACATTCATTGCTAACAAGTAAAGAATGATAATGGGGAGCTTTCCCTATAAATCTATTAAGATCAACAATACTATTTTAAAGTAAGTGGCTTGTGGAATGTAAGTATGTTATATATTACCGGCAGAAAAGAACATACATTAACTTCACTGGGAATAATATATTCAGATATACCAGGAATTCACAACAATGCAAGGAGTTTTTTTAAAGGTTCCTGTTATTTGAACATCTTCAGTATTTAACATTTTACACATTTCATTTTGCAGTGACTCAACTTTTCAACCGTTAAAGATAGATAGATAGATAGATAGATAGATAGATAGATGATAGATAGAAGATAGGTGATAGATAGATAGATAGATAGATAGATAGATAGATAGATAGATAGATTTCATTCCAGAACAAGATGACTTGTTCTGCAAAATATCAATTCAGCAAAATGTTCCTCATGACAGCCCCTATTTTAATTTATGAATCCTTTGTTCCTCAATGATGCTAACCTGCTCAGATCACTAACCTGGGGAGAAAGGCGCCTTGTCCTCAGAAAGAATCCAAGAAGACATCCCACTATGACAGATAACACTGAGAGAATAAGTAAACCATTCCTTTTGCAAACATCCTTGACCCGACCTAGCATTGTTTTGAAAGTCACTGCCATGGTGTCCTCAGTGATCTCCGGAGGGGAATCAGCATCCCATAGACACAGAGATCTTTTCAGCCTGTTGTGTTAGAATAGCAGCCATAGATTAGATGAAAGCATTTCTGGGACTGCTTAGTTGACATGCAAGGTCGCTCTTCTACCAGTAGCCAACAAGCATGTATTTCCAAATTAATACTCACAATCCTATTAGTGACTACATCAATACGAACCTCAAGGAAGATTAAGAACTCTGGAAAATGAGAACAGAGTGGAGTGGTGTTTCAGAAACCAGGGTAATCTTGGAGCAAAGTGGCGCCTAATATGAAGATAAAATAATTGTGCATTGTTCAGTTGTTATAAGCAGAGGATCTTAAATAATGGTGGCATAGAGGAATTCAATGCATACAGTAGGTATCTTCTGTTTTCATTCAAATTGTAGGTGATTAACACTAGTTAAGCACAAGATTAAACTTTAAGTAATGCTGGCTTATTTTTCACTACTACCAGTACAAATAATCTGGAAATATTGGAAGCATATGGAAAAACGGCTTGTCCCTGTCAACATTTTTTTCAGATTTTTTTCCCCCCAGTGAATTAAACTATATGCAATTGTATGATTTATAAATGTATTATGTATAACTTGATTTGGTCATAAATGTATGTTTAATATAATAAAATTTAAAAATATAGTTTATGCAATTTACTAATGTATTTTTATTTTTATCTGCTAAGTAGAAGCAGGCAGCCCCCCAAAAAATTGAAGTTGTAAACTAAAGAAACCATTGACATTGTAGCAAAATGCAACATTTTCTCTGCAATGTATCAAATACAGAAAACATTTTTTTGAAAAAGATGTGGGATCAAGGCTAAGAATATACATTTTGCTATATTAAATATTATTTAATGGCACTCATTTTCTGAATCTATGTCCATTCATCAGTTCAATATTTTTGAAGATTCTCTTATATTGCCATAAAATGTTCCGTTCTATTATATATTGGATTATTACTTGATTTTGATGTAATTGTTTTTAAAGCATCTTAGCCATTATATTTATTTAATTCAATCTCAATGCCCACCCAACTCGAGACCCAAATCCACACTTATCCTGAGCACTTCAGAAATTAAAAAAGCACAACATAAATAAAATAAGATACATAATAATGCAGAAAACAAATTAAACAAAATGTCAAACCAAGACAACTAAGATAAAAACAGATGCAACATATGACAAACATATATAACAAGGAATTCCATACATTCTATCTGAAGGCCTAGTAGAAAGCCGTGTGTTTCCTTTCTTTTTTAAACTTTAAAATTATTATAACATATTTCTTTTTTGCCCCAGTTTTCCAATTTGCGAGTGGATCTTTGAAGGAGAGGAAACATTCTTGTATATATATATATATATATATATGGGTATGGCTAGCTGATGAGAGCTAAATAGCTTGAAATAGATCTATACTAGTCTCCCTTTATTTATTTATCAGCACAAATACAACATATATTTATTTATTTATTTATCAGCACAAATAC